GATTAATATTGGCGGAGTTATGATACAATAAAGTTTTAAGTATAATTCTGGCCAAAATTATGTTAATTTTTGGCCGGAATTATGATATACTAATATAAGAAATTTTTTATATAGTCACATCTCTTTATAATCACCAAATATGGACTGTCCCAAATGTGTGACTATAAAGAGAGTTGACTGTATTTTTTTGTTAGGATATAAAAGATATAAGAATCAAATAATACATAAAAGAATTAAGTTTTTCATTAAAAGTAATAAGTATAATATTACTTTATTAAATAAAACTAACATAATAGCAAGTAGAATTTTCATAAAAATTAAAAAAGTGAAACTTTAAGAATTATTATAAAATAGAATATTATACAAAAATATATAAGATAAATGCTGAAAAAAGAAATTAAATTAACAAATTTTTTTTTAAAATAACAAATGTTCTGAATCAAATAATCAGATTTACATCTATTTTACTTATAAATTTTTTTAAAAAAAATTTTAATTTGATCTTTTTTTCTAATTTACCTTATATATTGCATACTAATTAATTATAATAGTTAATTTATTTATTTGTATACTAATTATTATAATGAATAATATTTATAACTATGGTGGCTGTCACCTATAAACAACAATAGTCCGAAATTTTGAAATTTATTTATTTATATTGTGTAACTTATGTTTTAAAGTACTTTGTCAAAATATTAATTGCTGCGTGAGCGGCAAAATTTTTTTTTTGCCATATTACATGGAATTCTTGTGGATTTCCATGGAATTTTTGTAAAATCCATAAAAATTACATGAAAACTAGTCCGAAATTTTATATTTTTATTATTGCTACTTATTAAAATTATCCAACTTTAGCCTATAATATTAATTAAAATTCTTATTAAATTCTATAAAATAATCCGATAGAAATGTTCAGTACATGTTGCTATATCATTTTATCAGTTTAGTTTTTTCTTTTTACTATTCAATTTACAATTTATAAAAATTTGAAGTCACTTAATATTAGTGTGGTTTATAGGTGACAGCCACCATATTACTTTTAATTTTAATTAATAAGTATCTTTTTAATTTTAAATTTGCAAACTTTGAATTATTATTACAGTTAAACTTTGATATAGTGAACCCTTGATATAGTGAATTTTTCAGACAACTATAATAAATTTCCCCTTGTTATAACGAATTAACCAATCAAATCTCTTAAAATTTTCACTATAGTCTTATAGTAAAGTTGAGGTCTGGACCCTAGGATTCATTATAACAAGGGTTGACTGTATATATTTATTAAATTTCAAAATAATAGTTCAAATTACTAGTGTAATTTAAACTAAATCAGCCTGAATTACACTAGTAATTTGAACCTAGTTCTTTTATTTCAGTTGCCAGAGTATTCAATTACTTAATGATTATCTTCAGCTATTATTTCATTTGCTAAAATTCATATAATATATGATTTATTTTAATTGGTTAAAATTTAGCAGTTGACAAATAAAAATTTACCTCTAGTTGACAAGCAAAATTTTTCTATAAATATAATGCTACATTTGACCTGTATTTTTCAATTTTCTATAAAATTGATCAGCATTATGAAAATTTTGGCCAGAATTATGAATTATTGATCGGCAGAATTTTGGGCAACTTTAATTATATATATATATTCATTTAATAAGAATACTGCGCCATGATTTTTTTTTCAATCTTAATAAAAAAAATTGGCTTTTTTTTGTAGCATTTCCATTTCCAGTAACTGTTACTACTTTATTAATACATTTTATTATTTTTAATAAAGTTTGGATTATGTAAATCAATAAATCATCAGGTGTATAAATTTTTAATATCCAGATCATTAAATCTAATAAAAACAATAGATCTTAAAAATAAATCTAGTTAGTAATTATTATTGATTAATACCTAACACTAAACTTAATCTTAACTTTTAAATAAATTAATGCCAATTAAAGAAAATTATAATTCTGTCCTCCTGTGAATATAACTTGTTTTGGTTAGAATTTTTTAAAAAAAGTGCCATTATAATATGTAGTAAATAATGCAGATGTAACGTTTAAATGCAAGATTAACTAGATTTAAGCTTTTTTTTTTCGGGAAAGTTTTCCTAGTTTGAACGAAAATTTTACGGCGAAATTTCCCGTAAATTTTATTTGCGTATGACTTTTACCACGAGAAAGTTCATAACTAAATCATTATAATTTTATAAGATCATCATAATATTTTCATTAAATTAATTTTAACGATTGTAACTTTTTAATCTACGGAGAACGCGAATTAATTAACATTGTCAGACTAAATAAATGTCTGTGTTGTAACGGAAATTTTCGGTAAATGTACAGAAGTTATCGAGTGCCACAAACTAAATTTGAGTGTTATTATTTTCTGGCTGTGTTATTGTCATACAAAATGTCAAAAACCGAAAATTTACATGAAACTTAAATATTTAATTATTTTAAAATTTCCTCAAACAAGAAATTGGCGCACAAAAAAAAAATGTGTCATCGTGATGAACTGATCTATGTATTATTAGGTAATTATGTTACTTATTATTTGCAAGCGAAAAGAAAATTTAAAAAATTTTATTAGTAAACATCGTTTTCGAGCGATTTAAAAAATTTAAAGAATTCTTGACATTTGATCCATTATGTATCAAATAAAGGGCAATAAAGCAAATCATCCGAAAATTGATAAATTTTGAAACAGAGGCTCAAACAAAAAAATTTAACCTGCATTCGAAATAATGACTTTTTTGTATAATTTTCATTTTTTAAACGTATTGTAATTCATTAAATCAAAACATTCATGTATATCATTAAAATCTCTTCGTTTTTTAATAAGTTAGCTTCCAAAATGGACGTTTACTTTATTCCAAAATTATACTAGCATTGTACTATATTCTTACACATTTTAGGAAACCTAACATGATACGTCGTTTTAAACTATCGATGTTACACCAGAAAAAAAATTTTTTTCTTACAAATAAATACTCTACAAAATTTTCTTGCTTTCCAACAATTCGAAATTTCGAATAAAAACATTTCACAAAACTAATTATTCTGTACAATATTCATTTTGAAATTCAAAAAAATTGTAAACTACCTCCCGAATTAAACATGTCTAAGTATACCAACGGAAGCAGTCATCGCAATATCGATAGGATCGAAAGTATTTCAAGATCACCTTACCTTAATCAAGGTAATTAATTGATTTTTTATTCATTAAATTTAACATAACTTCTCTAAAACAATCAAAATCATTGATGTACAATAAAGGTACTACTGCGCCTCATTCAATTCGAAATGCTTTGCATACTTCCGGCCTTATGCCATTTGCTGTAGAAAGCGTCGATCAACAAAAGAAGAGAGCTTTAGCTCAATTAAGATCTAAGAATACTGATTTAGAAAAATACATTTTTCTTGCATGGCTTAGAAATACTAATGTTAGCTTATTTTATCGTATTGTTATTGGTGAATTGGAGGTAAATTCTTATTCCTGATGATCCTAATTATCATTTTTTTTAGAGTTATATTGAAAATTTTTTTTATATTAGGAAATTACTCCCCTTATCTACACTCCAACTGTCGGTACCGCCTGTTTGGAATACTCTCATATTTCTCCTTTCCTTGCCCCACCAGGAATACCAGACGGTCTTTATCTTTCTTTAAATGATCTTCCAAATTTAACCCAAATAATCAAAACCTATCGTCCATATCCATACGACGATACTTTAACTCCACAAATTGCTGTGATTACTGACGGATCAAGAATTTTGGGATTGGGTGATTTGGGTGTAAATGGTATGGGGATTCCCGTCGGAAAACTTCAATTGTACGTTGCGGCAGCAGGAATTGATCCTCGACGTACTTTGCCAATCACTCTTGATCTTGGTACTAATAATGAAAAGAATTTAAAAGATGAGTTCTACCTCGGTCTTCGAAGTAAGAGGGTAGATGACGATCAATTTTATTCGTTCGTAGATGCTGTCATGAAATCATTGCTTAAAGTTTATCCCGAACTGTTGATTCAATTCGAAGATTTCTCATCTGAACATGTGGGCATAATTTGATTGTTATTTATTTTTTTGAAAAAATTTTGTAAATATAATGTAAACGGTTTATTGGTTTCTTTTTTAGGCATTTGATTTATTGTCCAAATATCGAGAAAATACTTTCTGTTTTAATGATGATATTCAAGGAACAGGAGCTGTTGTTTTATCTGGTTTTATCAATGCTGTAAAACTTGTAGAAAAGGATGTTCATCCAACAAAACATCGATTATTGTTTTTCGGTGCTGGATCCGCTGGTGTTGGTGTTGCCAAACAACTCCTTGAATTTTTCAAGGTAGAACATGGAATGTCTGAAGAGGAAGCAAAGAGATTGGTTTGGTTGGTAGACACAAAGGTTTGTATTTACATCCTTCTCATGATTTATATTTTTACTTCGTTACTTACCTTTATCTTTCATTTCTTTCATTTGATAGGGTCTTGTAACATTAGACCGTGGTGACAATTTGGCTAAACACAAAGTATATTTTGCCCGTGATGATAATGATGGAAATCAATTTAAAACTCTTGAAGAAGTTATAGAATATGTCAAACCAACTGCACTTATAGGATTATCATCAACAGGCGGAGTATTTAATGAAAAAATTATTAATAGAATGGCTGAATTAAATAAAAACCCAATTATCTTCCCATTATCGAATCCAAAGGTTAATGCCGAATGTACTTTCGAAGATGTAAATATATTTTTTTTTATTTATTTGTTATGATTTGTTATCAATACATTTATATTAAATAATCAATAATTAGGCAATGAAGGGGACGGACAATCGTGTGATATTCGCTTCCGGTACAGCATTCCCTGAATATACTGTACCAGAAACTGGTAAAACTAAATATCCGGGACAAGGAAATAATATGTATATTTTGTAAGTAAAAAAAAAAATTTTATAATTATTTTATTATCGCGTAAAATTTACTAATTACCTTTTATTGAATTTTATTAGCCCTGGTTTAGGTTTAGGTGCAATTCTTGCTAAGCCAAAAGTCATCACTGATAAACAAATATATATATCTGCATCTGCATTATCTACTTCGTTAACCGAGGAGGAAAAATCATTAGAACTTCTTTATCCTGTTGTAAGTCGTATTCGTCATGTATCAGCTCAAGTTGCAGCTGCTGTAATTGTCGAAACGGTGGAAGAAGGTTTAGCACGTGATAAACAAATTATTGAGATGGTACAAAATGATATTGAAGTATTGAAAACTCGAAAAGGAAAAGAATGGGATAATTTGGTTAAATTTGTTCAAGAAAATATGTGGGATCCTGATAGTGAAAAATTCTTCAATACTGAAGAACTTTTGAGTAAAAGTAAAATGTAAATTAATTATTTGTTAATTATTTTAATTATTTTCATGTTTGTTATAGAGAACATTTGTAATTTTTTTCATAAGTTTATATTGTTTTATAAATAAATTTTAATAGTTTCGTTATTAAACGAAATTTTGTATGATTAAATCATAAAATCAATCCAATATAACCATATAATCTTTTAAAAATGATTTTATAACATGTATGATTTTTGCACTTTGAGTTTGAGCAAATATTGAGATTTATGAATATTTCTTTAAAGCTTTAAATAATATTACAGATGGTAATAAAGAAATTGATGATATACAGACATAATACTTTAAGTATCTGCATATATATAATATGTTTTAATATATTGTAATTGTTTATTGTTTACTATGTTAAATGCTATTATAAATATAAGTTTTATTTAACTAAATTCAATCAATTAAAAAAGTAAATAAATATTTGTATAAATTTTAGTAATATTTTAAATTATAATTTATTATTTATATTATTTATTAAATATTTATTTGTTTTAAAATAATTTAAATACTCAAATAAAATAATAAAATAGCTAAAGTATTTAAATTTCTGTAATAATTTATTTATATTTTAAAATTCTTTAAATTATGCAAATTAAGAATTATATATAAATCTTAAAATTTTACTTTTAAAATATTTTAACTTGCAGCAGAAGTACACTACCATTACAGTATCAGTAGACCTTAATAAGGTGATGATAAAACTATAGACTGGTGAAGTATAGACTGCTCCCCTTGAAGGACTACCTATATGATAGTTTTTGGCCAATTAAAAAGAAAAGAATGAAAAGATTTTAGGTTGTGTTAATAGGAGTTCCTATTTCTACCACTACAGCATCCTTATATCTGGCTAATTCTGTTTATTTCATTCTCATATTCACTGGATGTAAAGCATTTAAATTAATTCAAGATAGGGGCATTTGCAAATTGATAACTTATAATAAAATCATTGGTAAGACTTTCAGTTTAAATGAATTTCTAGTGATTGGAAAAGGTATTATTTTTCTAACTTAAAGTAAAGAAAAAACTGGCATTAAAAGGTGAAGCAAAATAACAAATCTAAAGTATTTCAGAAAACTACTAATATATTTCAGTTGAGTTACAATTTTGGCCAATATTCTATTAATACTAAGAAAATTAGAAGTATTTTGAAAAATAAAATAGATTGTCTTAATTTTAGAAGTGTTATTGTTATAAGGTATTTTATTACTAATTGTTTTATTTTATTTCTATTTTGTTTTTATTTTGTTTTTTTGTTTTATTTCTTTTGGTTTGAATAGCATCATTTGATACTAAATAATATATCTAGATATTTTCATTACATAATAAAAGTGAGAAGTTTTTCAAAATTTGTAATTTTGTATAACTTTCAAATTATTAATAAAGTTTTGACCAGTTATAAAAAAAATATTTTAACTAAATATTTAATTTTTAATCTTTATATTAATATATTAATTATATACATATTTTAATATTATATATATGTATTTTCTTTTTTTTTATTTTAAAAAATATCATAATTTTATTATATTATATTTATAAGTAAAAATAAATAATGTTATAATTTTTATTTAATGGTATATAAAAAAAACTGCAACGATGAACGATCAGCGGAAATCTTATGTGTTTAATCGCCATTTTTTCTTCTAATATATTGTATTAAATAAATTTAATAATTATAATAACTTTATTAATAATATTAAATATTATTGTTCAATTTAATATTACATGTAAAAAAAATATAAATTTTAGATTGGTAAATTATAAATTATTAAATTATTAATTATTTCAATTCATAAAGCATAATTCTAACTAATACAGTGCGGTACCTCTATAATAGGTACCCCTTATATCTTATGATCTAATGGTCAGAATTTTATAAAATTTTAAAATTAGATAGCTTTTAAAAAGATAAATACATTAAGCAAATAAAAAATTTTCTCAATTTTTTTGCTGACATAATACAAAATCACATGACTTAAAATAAATTTGATTGGCTAATATAATACTTAATGTTAATTAGAATTATGCATAATTTTTTATATATAATTTATTATTCATTATAATTATTTAAAAGTAATTTGATTAAGTATATCATCAGGAACTTTTCTATGGGATTTATATTTTTTTAGCAAGTTTTCCTGTAATTTCTTTTTGAGAAATAGGCATAATATAATTTGTAATAAATAAAAACTACCAAAGTTTTTTTTTAATTTTTTTCAAAATTTTTTTAACAAAGCATGGGTAAATTTATAAACTAAAATGATTTATTTGAATAAGCACTATCAAATGATTATTATTTTTTATATTACACAAAAGTCACTTATTCTCAAATTTTTCCTATCTATCATAATAAATTACCCGAACTTCAAACTTATGTAACACTAGCAAAATTTATTATTTTTTAATCTAACCCGATAAGTTTAAAAGCTCTTGATATGCTTTATTAAAATTATCGGTTAGAATTTTAAAATATTATTTTTTTGTTAATGTGACATTTTTTTGAAAATGTCATATTATGACTATAAAATTGGGTCAGTTATAGAGGTACCGCACTGTATAATATTGAAAATAACTTATTATATATTTAATTTTAAATTTTAAAACTACTGAAATGAAAAAAAAATTTGATTACTTTTATAATTATTTAATTAATACAAATAATTATATTTTGAATTATTTACTAAATTGATCTTTTCAACTTTAAATAAACTAATGGAAAATAAAGGTACTTATTATGTTACTATTATACTAATAGTTCATTTTATTATTAATATTTATTATTATATAGTAAAATAAATCTATCATTAAATAAGTAATAATAGAATTAAATAAATAACTTACGAGCTATATTATTTAATAATTTTTTAAATAAAGAAATTAGTTAGTTTAAATTATATGTAAAAATTATAATAATAAATAATAATAAAATTAAATAAATAACCTACACCCTATATTAGTGCACATGTAAGGTACTATATTGTATGATAAATGGTTTGTGAGTTAATAATATTTATGTAGTGTAGTAGTTAGTTACATTTATATATACTTTCTATTACTTTTTCTACTTAAATAAACTTGCAAATGTGCTGTGAAATTAAAAAAAAAAGAAATTTTTACAAAATCAACCTTTTACTTATATCTAAAAATAAATAAAATCTGATAGAATTTTGTTTAATATATTATATATTTATTTATTTATTTTTTTATTTTCACAAATTATCTAGTGTGATAAATAAATAATCTATTACTATATAATATATGAAATATAAAGAAAATTTATATATAAGTATAAATCTAATTTTAAACCCAGGATGATTTAACTTAGATGATTTAACCACCTCTAGCAAATTTTATATAATTTTGCCCAAATTTTCAAAAAAAATATAAATTATAGTTACAATCAAAAACAAGAAAAATTATCAAAAATGTAAGAAAGCTTGGTCATTATGCTCTATAATGTCCAAATAAATAAAATCTATATAAAATGAATTGAATAATGACACAAACAAATTTTTTTTTTAAAAAAAAAAAAAATTGATTGATGTAAAATATAAATTTTGGGGGTGATTTGGTCCAAGTTATTTAACCCAGGGGGGAAGTTAGCGAAACTCATTATAATTAGACAAGATCATATTATAAAATAAAAAAAAGAAATAATTTGTAAGATTTAAATTTTAAAAATTAATTTTTTAAATTTTGAAATAATGTTGATTTTGATAAAATATGTATGACGCAAATGTATAAATGTTGGTTTAATCAAAATTAATTTGAATTGTTATCCCACACGCCTGCACGATCTCCATCTCCTTTCAGTTGTTGCGATGAAATCATTCGTCAATCAATGTAAGGAAGAAATATGAGAAAGTCAAATTTTACGGTAAAAATTATTCTGATTACTCTGAAGAAAATCAGATCAGAACATATCGCGTGGATAATCGAAATAATGTTTTTTTAAAAAAAAATACTATACACGATTTTAAAATTTAATGATCAATAAATATTTTTTAAATTTAATTATTATTTTTATTTAAAAAAAGAAAAAAAAGAACTTGTGATCAATAGTATTATTAATTAAATTATTTTTGAAAGTCTATCAATTCTGTTATTTGTTGAGAAATTAAAGGTAAAATATCACCACAAAGCATTTCAATTTTTAACCAAGCTAAATTATCTCCTCTCGTTTCTCCAGAATTAATGATTACAATATTTTTACCAGAATCATGAGCAGATTTTATCAACCTAAAAGCCGAATAAGTAACCAAAGAGGATCCTACAACCATTATTGCACTACAATCCTTTACCATATCAGAAGCAATTAATTTAACGGATGATTTAATATTTTCTCCAAAAAATATAATTGAAGGTTTATAAATTCCCTTTTTACATTGATCACATGATGGATAACGGAAAGTTTCATACGAAGTATTTGATGGTAAATCTACATCACCATCAGGTCTCACTTTTGGTTTAATCTTAAATGATTCAATTTGATTTAAAAATTCTTTCCATTCAGGATTTAATTCATTCAATATATCTTGATAATTAGATCTTTTTTGTATATGACCACATTGCATACAATGAACTTCATGTAAAGTACCATGAAGTTCTAAAATATTTTTTGTTCCTGCTTTTTGATGTAATCCATCAACATTTTGTGTGACTATATTTTGAATATAACCTAAAGATTGTAATTGTGTAAAAGCAATATGTGAGGAATTTGGTTTCGTTTTTTGTACTGGTGGCCATCCGAGAAATGATCTGGCCCAATAACGTTGACGAAATCTATGTTGACCTGCAAACTATTATTATTTTAAACTAATTAGAAATAATATAAAAAATATTAATTAAAAACGATAAAATGATAAAAAAAAGGTTGTAGACATCAAACCTCATGATAAAATATTGGTTTATAATTCTTGTTTATTACATAGGTTCCCTGTTAAAAAATGAACCAATATATTAATAAATAAATTTACAAAATTAAACAATTTTTTAATATAAGTTTGACGGCATTACTTGTGGTCCTCGATAATCAGGAATTCCTGAATCAGTACTCACACCTTAAATAATTTCAACAAAAAGAAATTAACAATCTTGTAGAAAAAAAAAAGCAAGAATTGTACGCAATAAAAGCATAAAGTTTATTTCCCACCTGCTCCTGTTAATATTAATAATTTTCCATTATTTGCTTTAAAAAAATTGGACATTCGTTGAATTACTTCTATATTAGATGACGGTTTAATAGCATTTGAATTAACTATAGTCGGAACTATTTTAATTGGAACAAAAATTCGCATGGCTTTTCATTCATGTTAAAAGTATTAAAAAAAGAAAACAAACTCTAATTTTGTACATGCCAAATCACATGACTTTTCGCATCTGATCCAATCAAAGTTGACCTTTCTAAAACCGTGAAAGCCGTGAAACTTTCAATACTTTAATGAAATAAATTTAATATTTCATTGAAGGTGAGCTTAAATATTTTATCTTTTTGAATATACATAATTTTAAAAATATATATTGTGGATGTAAAGATGGAAACTATCAAATTTTTTTTAAAAATTTTAAAATCATTTATCAAATTATTGTGACATAATTTTAATAATATATATTATATTGGAGATGTAATGAAAGATGATTTAAAACTATATTGTTACAGTCCAGAACTGCATAAATTACACCTTAAAAATACATGTGGATACTTTGTGCAATAACATGGCCTAATTCATTCGGTTACTAGGATTATACCCGAGTCTTTTAAATGAGGGTACTGAAGGTACGTTTTTAAAAGAGAATGTTTTTATTTTATGCAGTGCTAAACGATAATTTTTGCGTTCTAATTATCTTCTCAGTTCTCAATTAAATGGATCGCGCTGCCGCTCACGAATAACATTCAGGGTTACTTCTATAAAAGGTGAAAAGGGGGTGATAAAGTTTGGGACTCTGAACTTATCAGCCAGGAGTACATTTGCACATGGTAATAATGATATTAACCAAAGGATAGAAGTTCCATCTCATTTTTGCGCCATGATCATAGAAGTTTTCAGTTAACATAATTAACTGCATATGTCATCATAATACATGTGCGTGTAAATTAAAAATTCGTGCGTACATGTAATTAATTATCATCTTACTGCTTACCTTTTTATATAATAAAGATGTTTTTTAAATGATTGGCAATAAATTACTATATGTAACTATTTGCATTAAAAAGTCTTTCAATACAAAAACAATTTCATTTATTGATTATGTAGGGTCTTACCGATTTTTTATTCAATTCGACAATATAACCCAAATATTGATTGATGTAGAGTTTGTTCTAGACAGAAAAAAAAGATTTTATTTTTTTTTGCCTAATTAATCTCTATTTTCATACATTATTATCATTTTTCATACCATTATTTCTCTGCAATTCATTTTAATTCTAAACCTTATATTGTAAAAAAGGAAGTGTTATTGTTTTACAAGATGTGCAAAGTAAATGGTATGCTTTGTATTAGAACAAGATCATCAGTTATGTTGAGATTTTCATCTGTTTTATCGATATAGTATAATACTGTACCCTGAGCAGTAACTAGAGGATAACTCTGTGGAACTATATGAGAAGTTATTTGAAGAGTGAATTAGAAGAAAGGTATTATAAAGATTAAAGGCTATAAAGGGAATAACTACCAAAATAAATCGATTCTGTAACAGGTAATGATAAATTAGTAAGATCAAAGTTTCATTATATGCTTTCAGTTTGTTTCTTCGACTTAGTCAACATAAAATGAAATATATAAGTAGTGAGTAATTCCTTTTTCTTTATTGGTACAATTGTACATCAGTACGACGATGATAATCAATGAACTTCACGTGTTACTTAAAATTTTAGTGTTCTTTTAATTGTACAATGATAAGAAAAAAAATATATAATAAAATTTTTTTTGTATTCTTTTATTTGTACAATATGATAAATATACAGAATTAAGTTAATAATATATAATATTAAATAAATAAATTAGTACTGCATGTACTGTATATATATATATATATATATATACAATTTTAATAATAAATGAGGAGTAGGTACAGTACTTAAAATAAGAAAATAATGAATAAATTCAGGTAAGGGATACTTAAAAATCGCAGGGTAACCATAAAGTGAAAATAAATAAAACTTTGAAGCATAATAAATAATAAATAAAAATTACATAATTAAATCATACTGTAAATCTTATATAAAAAATATATTATCTAAGCTGACCCTGCTTAAGGAAATGTCCATAATAAGTTATGTAAGGTACTTTGAAAATCAATATTCAATTAGACAAATTCATGAAATTGAAGGAAAAATGGGAAATGACTTTTTAAGAATGTACCCGGATTATTTAGTATAAGATAAGAAATATGGTATGATAAGGAATGTAACAGGTAATGTATCATAAGTATATGAAAGAAATCGAATTCTTTTTATTTATTTATTTATTTATTTTAAATCATAGTGTGTACAGAAAAATCACAATCTCCTAATTCATTTACTATTCCCATCTAAAATATTAAGAGAGTTTGCATGAATTGGCGGATGGACACATTTTGATAAGTGTACATTATTTCTTGAGTTACCTCAAGATAACATCTCAATGCACAATCTAATGATATTTAAACCTCTTTCAAAAGAGAGAGAAATTAAAAACGGATTGAATTTCAGTCCGGTTTTAATTTCTTTTTACTTTCATTTATTAAGAAATTTTTTTTTTAAATATTATATATTGAGATATATTCATATAATTTCTTTTAAAATTAATTTTTTTTATTTATTGCTCATAAAATAGCAAAAATGAAAGGTTTGTAACACGTTCATTATTGAATATTTATGGAAATCTGCATATCATTTGCCAAACAAAATTTGTGTTTTTTTTACGTTATGCTGGCTGGCGTAATTCTACCAATAGGTGTCACAAGGATGATCATAACAATTATCGTAGAAATTCTTTAATTAATAAACCTTAAATAATATTTTAAAGAAGAAATTTAACGATATCAAAAAAAAAAAGAATAAACATCATGGCACATATTAGCATCAATAACAAAATTAATTATGCCAAAATACTTTTTAATCCCGAGATAATCAAGATGGAAGAAGATTTGATTTGCCAATTTTTAAAGTTTCGGCTATTTAATAAAATTGATTTTTGGTGCTGAATTTACATATGCAACATTATTTAAATATGAACAAAATAAATTTATGGCTATGTATGTTGAGCACACATTGTTTAATTTAACCTGGGTAATCCAATTTGAAACAATATGAAAGATGATCAACAAGCATAAGACATAAGTAACCCTTTCGTTTCATTCAATCATTGACCCTATATAAAGATAAAATACGTTTATTACGTTAAACCCACAATAACTTGACATTATTCTTTTGTTAAAAAAAAAATATATAATTATCAGTTTTCTTTTTTATCTACTTTATCTATATAAGTGATTATTGATACTAAAAATTTGTTTGAACCCGCTTTTATCTTTTTATCTTAAAAAATACGATAGGAATGAAAAGGTTATGTCAAAACATAGTAACTGTTTAACGTTTTACAATGAATTATTTAAATGATACCTATGCAATAGAAAGAAAATGTAACAAATTAATTGTGATACTTTTGAACATAAATTTTTCTTTCTCCCTTTGAAAGAGGATGCAAAACATTGTATATTTCGCTTTGTGAACTTGTAATTGAGTTTAAGCCAATTTTACTAATTAAATCCTTTCCTGTTAATGTCTAATATATAAATATAAATATATATATATATTTTTACTTATATATAAAAGTGTCTTGTTCTCATCTCTTTTTTTTCATCATCAGATCGAAAGAAATAAAAAAAAAAATTTATACTTAAGAACAATTCGTTTGTTTCTCTCCTACATATTCCACCTTGAAATTAAGCATTACATAAAAAGGCCAAAAAAACATGATTCAATCATTTTAATTAATATTATGATGAGATCTTGATCTCAAATATCGATATTTTTTATTATGTTATAAAAATTATGATTACTATTAATAAACAGCAAGGGAACCCGATGCACTTATATTAATATATTTTCGACTTCATCGCAATGTTATTTTTTCTTTAAAGGCTATTTTATTCTTTTATAATTACTGCCAATTATGTTATTTTCTTTTCTTTTATTTTTTAGTTTGAAAATAGATGGATGAAATTACTACGATATTCTTTCTCCCTTAACCCCCTCTATACATTAAATTACAAAAATATATATTATATTTTATTGACCAATTCTTTTTATATTTCTTTTAAATCGCTTTTTATATATATTATTAAATATCAATGTCAATCGCTTTTCGGATAATACCAGAGATATAAATTTTTAAACGTTTAGCTGTATTTATTTATGTGAACATTCATTACGATTATATTTTTCACTTTTTGATTGATTTTTTTTTCGTTATATATAAATTTCGTTAAATTTTTTTCGTATTTTTCGTATTTTTAGAAGATTAGAAATTTTATTTCCATGGATCTTTTTCCTTTTTCAATTTTATTTTGTTCTATTTATCTCTTTCTTTTTTTTTTTAAAAAAAAAATCAATAGACAAAAATCATAAAAAAAAAAATAATAAAATCGGTTTAAAAATCATATTATGGTGTGTTATACTCTAATTATTTTATTCATATCCAAATTTTATTAGCTAATATAAATGAGCGGAGTTATGGGTTAGAAGTTCAAACCCCGTTCAAGGTTATTCTATTATCGTTAAATTAGTCCGTTTATTATGTAAATCATGTCATAATACTTTGAATTAGATAATACCACCTGAACGTTGTAGGTAAATAACCTTAATTTTTAATAATTATTAAAGAAATAAACTTGTGTTTTTCTTTATAGCATATAAAGGTAAGTGCAAATTACCTACATTAATTAAATAATAAATCCGTAAAAAAAAAAAATACTTTACCGAAAAATAATTAATTTTTATTATAAATAAATCGGATAAATAAAATAATTTTTAAATTGGTCTATTTTTTATAAATAACACTTAAAAGAAATATTTATTTATTATATAATCAAACCTTCACATATATTATATAATCACAGAATTTTTATTTTAATCAATTTATATAATTTATATATGAATTTAGTATCTTATAACTATAAAAAAGCTTTAAAATTATTTATTTATATAATAAATATTATATTATAATTAATTGCAGATTTTTAAGGTTTAACTTTTAAAATTTTAGCCAAAATAAATATACTAATTTAGCTTTATACTATCATTTAGTTCATTTAAAATTTAACCATAGTTATATGATTTATGTATTTTTTAATTGTTTTATTTTATGTTATTAGTAAATTAGCTAAGCTGATTTTATTAATATAATAATTATATTTCACTTTGTAGTATTTAATTCTGCAGTATATACTTTACATATATTTATATAAGTTTTTCAAAATTTTTTTATTTTACATTTGCAATATAAAAAAAATAATACTAATTAAATTTTTTTTCTAATCATTTTTGAGAGTACTGAGCAATTTTAATTACTAGTATAACTTGTTTAGTTTATAGTATTAAATGCCAATAGTATGATTTAATAAAATTGAAATTTTAATATAATTTAATTATTAAATAAATTTTCTATACTTTAATAATTACTAAATTTATAATAAAAATTATTAGATTTTTTTTAAAAAAAATTTCCTAATTTACATTAGATATTTATATACATATTATATAATTTATAAAAAAATTATGTAAAAAAATTTTTAATAAATATAACTTTAAAAGAAATATATAATAGATAATTTCTTAATATACACTAGTGTGCGAAACACGGATCACGTGACTATAATTTGTCACCCATGTCACACCCCTATAGTTTTCCATTTTTACTATTTATTCTAGGGACTTGAATTTTTTCAGTAGGAAAAACCTTATTTGTCACATATTATATGTCACGTCTACTAATTTCAGCCAAATTTTATAATTCCAGCCAAAAATTACCATAATTTCCAATTTTGGAACTTAGAGTAACGTTACACTACCCAAAAAAGGCAATTTTGTTTCTCCGTAAAAATGAAAATTCGTTACACAAATTTCCAAAATAGGAAATTTTTATGCAGATCACCGAAAATGATAATAATCACGTGACCCGTGTTCACACACGTAGTTTACAAATAGAAATAGTCTATATAATATACATATCCCATTCGAAGTATTAGCGTAGTTCTAGTAGTTTGAATAGTATTGTTTGAAGGGTGGGGTCCCGTAGGGGATTAATTTCCAAAATTCTATACACGCCTATTTGTACCATCATGTAAATGATGTTTTACTCTTATTTTGTAATAGTTTTAGGAGTACTACTCTTTTAGTAATAAAATAAATAAAATAAAATAAATATATAATATACATATTTTTGTCTATTTATTTAAAATATTAAAGTTAGTTTTAAACAACCAATTTTGATTTATTAATTACCAAATTTGTTTTTTTTTTGTTTTTTCTTTTTATTAAATTTTATTTAATATTAAATAATTAGCATAAAAAATTTATTTTTTTTAAAAAATACAAATAGAAATTATTTTTAAAAAATTATAATTTATATTTAATAAAAATTTAATTATTTTTAAATCTTTTAATTAATTGATTGATTGATTTTAATAATTATAATTAAATAATCATGTATTTTTCCTAAAAAAATTTTCTAATTCTTAGAAATTTACACAATCTTAAATTAAATTTTTTACTCCTGAAAATTACTTTTTTTGGATTAAAATTGTGACTTGTACTGTATATAAAAATTTAATAAATATAAACTATGATATGATTGTTATATTAAACAGCTTTTTTTATTTTATATGCTTTAAATTATTAATAATAATAATTCAATTATAATATCAGTAGTTATTATTATTTATAAGTTTCATAGTTTTTTTTTATAAAAAAAAAGTACTGCTAACAGGATTCCAGACATCTTTAAAATAACTTATACTAGTAATTTTTAGAAAAAATTAGTTTTTGATATTTAGTAATCCAATTTTGATAAATATTTTTTTTAATTTATAGATAATATTAAACTCTACAAAATAAAAAAAGTTTATCTAAATTGGATCACTAAATACTGAGATAATTGCAAAAAGTAAATAAAATATTTATATAGAGTATTATTTAATATTATTTAGTAAATTTATATAATTATTTAATTTTATACATAATATCTTTTTTTTTTTTGCTGCAACACAATTAGATTTTATTAAGATTAACATAATTCGCAAATACAATATATGTACAACAAATTAAAAATCCTAATATAATTAAACCCTAAACTATCTGTTAACTACATTTAAGCAAACATGTGTATATTGTTAGTAAAGGATTTAGACTAGAGAAGTAAGTTAACCTTAAAAGTTATTTTCTTAAAGAAGATTCCATCCTTCTGGTTTACACTATAAGTATTTCTAAAGATTCACTAATATTACAGATGAATCCAAATTGAGCATAAAAAAAAAATAAAAGGAGGTAGTTAAAGTAAAAAAAAAAAATTAAAAAAAGAATAACTAAATAAAATATTAGTATTCTTTGAATACAAAGTTCCATTATATTGATTTTTGATCCATTTTAGTTATAATTTATCAAGACTAAGCAGTTTTTCTATCAGTTTTCAAGTTTTCTAAATATATTCCTGATTTTTACTAATAAAATTAGTTTGCCAATTCTAATGCCATCTAAATTTTTTTTCATAGTCTTAAAATTTTTTAACATATATTTCTTTTTAAAAAATTTATTCTCCTACTTCTTGTTATTCAAAGTTTTTAGTTTAATTTTATGAGCTGAGTTTTGGTTCTTCTTCTGAAATCAACCACTACTTGATAGTCATGAACGATCTTTAAAAAGTTGAGAGAAGAAATACCAAATTCAAAAACCTTTATATTCTGATAAATTCAACTTAATAGTTAGTACTAATGATTTTATCTAAATTTGCCCAATTTTTGAAAGTACATGATGAGCTTATGAGTATTTTTCTTCCGAACAATCTTAAATGCCTTGCATCTCACATGAAAAATCAGTGATTAGAAAAGGTCCAATGGGTAAAGTATTAAGGTAGTTACATTTCAGATAAATTCGTAACTACTATCTGAAATCATTTTCTTTTCTTTCTTTATTGAAGATTTCAGTTAACCAAATATCATAGTTAAATAGATAAACCTTTTAAAGGAATGATTCAGATTCCTTAACTCTATAAGTTTATAGCCCATTTATTAAAGTCAATTGAAACTGTAACCGTAGAATATTTCTTCTAACTCTTCTAGTACTCCTAATGAGTTAGGTTGGGTCAGATTTAAGGGATATTTGAATTTGATTTGAATATTCATGTAATTTGACTTCAAAATTCAGATTGATCAACTATATAACTTGAACTTGATTTGACCTGAACATAGTTTAACCTGAATAACTCAGGTCAAACTCAAATTCATATTAAATTTATAATCAGCTAAATTAATCGTTAAGTTACGCAATTTATTTTATGAAAAATTTTACAATTCTTATTATTGTAATAATGTTTATTTATTAATTAATATAAAATTCAGTTTAAATTTCTTTGATTTTTCACACCCACCAAGATTCCAAATATATACATGTACAAACAGTTTGTATTTTAAGGTTGTATCATTTTGTTGGCAATAGATCAGCTCCATCAGAAAAAAGTCATTTTACTGGAACACTTATTCAATAATTATCAATAATTCATACAATAAGCTTATTTACCTGTAATAGCCAGATAATTTTGGACATATTGGAGTCACCAATTTTCCATAGCCAAGTCTTATTAACTCTAGAGTTTTAAAAAAAATTATGAAATAATATTAAATGTATATTTTACAATACTTTAAAAACTTTTACTTACGAATAATTGAGACATTTGATTTCATAATGCATATTTGCATCTTTATTTTCTGAAGGGAATTCTTTCTTCTCAAAGAAATTTTTAATAAAAAGCTTACTATGTAAAGCTTTTCATTTTCTGAGTTGATTTGTTGGTTCAGCAATATTAATAATCTCAGATATTATTTCTTATTTATTAATAAAGTTTTTTACAAAAAAACTCACATTTCGTGTAAGGTGAGGAAAAGTTTAAATTCCGGACTTTAGGACTGAGTCTTTGGACTCAGTTTTAGCAGAACTTGGTCCTAATTTTTAGGACCAAATTGTGACGGTCCCAAATCAGTCCTTATAATAATAATAATGTAAAAGACATCGATTGTTTAATTCAATCACAGGAAATTAATAATTTTTGAAGAAATAATATTATAATTACATTTTGTTGTGAATAAAAATATTAATATATGCAACTAGTCATAGTAATATTTATTTATAGATGGTTTGCAATTGGTAAGGGCATACGATGCTTTGGATTACTAGTTGTTAGCCCATAAATATAATTAGGGTTAGTGTGTGAATTTGTATTTAGGGTAATTTATATTCACACATGAAATATTTTTGTTATATGTCTTTTTATATAAATAAATAAATATGTGTGTGTGTGTGTGCATTTTATTTTAAAATTTGGCATGAATATAATTTAATTGTATATTCTAAAATGAGTCCTAACTCAGTCCTAACTTGGTCTATAGGACTAGGTCTGGTCTATCCATATGCTAGAACCTGTAAGTTCTATGACTTTAACCGAACTTTGATGGACTTACCCCACCCTAATTTCATGGCTTAGTGATGAGAAAAAATGTGGATCATCTGGATTGATCTGGGTCAAAACAACAGTACAACCTTAACCTGATAGGTCAGGTCATGCAAATTACAAGTCATTAAAATGATTAATCCCAATTCAATTCAAAAATTCAAGTCAGATTGATTACCTAAGTCTGATCTGATCCGTATAGAGATTAAACTCTTTATTTTGAAAGCGATTATGTGACTTTATTTTTTAGATGTATTAAAATATTGAGTTAAGCCAGATGAAGTCTATTAATAGAGTCTTTAAAAAGTATTTAGATCAGAATACTTTATTAAAAAAATTAGGTAAAATAATTGAACAAGAATTAGAAAATAAATTACAATATACTAGGATCAAGGATTATTATAAATTAAATTTATTATCTGACCTTTCATTAACTTATTCTATAATTTTTAAAGATATAATTCTGTATTAAAAGATTATTTATCATCAATTCCATGATATTTTAATCACAAAAAATCAAGTAAATTCATTTAAAATTGATATTGTAAGTAAATTTGTATTATATCTTATTGTATTAAATTTACATTAGTTTAGAATTAGGGTTAAGATTAAGATGAATTAGTTTGTTAAAAAAAAAACTTAATTTATATTAGTTTAGGGTTAGAGTTAAGATTAGGGTTAGATTAATAAAATGGATTTAATTTGCATTAATTTAGAATTAGAATAGGTTGGATTAGTTTATTAAAAAAAAATCTCAGATTTTTGTTGCATTGTATATTCATTATTTATTATACTTTATATCTAGGTTAATGAAGTTAATTTTTCATACATTAGTATAATTAAGCATATTTATAATATGCCTTAAATTCGATTATATGAACTTTTACTGAATATACCTGAAAATAATATTCAAGAAATTTGAAAAGTTTCTTATATTTCAATAACTTCAATATCTAAACTTCATTATGTTGTAGTTTTTACAGATTTTACATCACTTATATGTATATATTAATTATTAATCAAGAAATACTATATAGATATTAGTATTGCATTTTTTTTCAATCTATCAAAATGATTTTTTATCTGGAATTTATTCATTTATGTTAGTTTGAAGTAGTACCATCTGCTAAAATAATTGTTAAAATTATAATCTTTCAAGGAATTTAAAGTCACCTATACTATATTAAGTGACTTAGAATTTTTAATGTTTATACAGAAACTGTTAGAGAAATTGTCAATAAAAAGATCCAATTTGGTACTACAATGTCAGTAGCAAAAAATGGTATACAAATTGCAGTGTTAGCTAAATTAATTGAAATTCTTATACAATTTATTATGAAGTATCAGAACAATACTGGTTTGGATATAAAAGAAATACATCATGAAATTAGGTAACTTTTAAGTAAATTGAATTCTATTTTTGAAATAGCTAATCCTAAGTATTATAAAACAAAAGGTAGGCTACCAAAATGTTATAAATTATCAGTTAAAACAAATCTACTATATCAGTTAAAATATGCAGCTATTATTTGGGTAGGAGACATAATATTCGTAGATATGCAAAGTACAAGTTGGATAAAAAAAATTAGATTAGTATTTAAAGATATAATTTATTAAGTAATTAAGATGTATTAATATCTGGCATGTAATAACATAATATTGCATTAATCATATTAATTGTATAATAATAAAATTTTGATTATTGTTAGATTTGTTAGATTATAATAAAATTGAAAATTGCATAAATACATGATTAACTACTATATCATATGATACAGTCACATCATCATATACTGGTAAAAATTACCACTGCAAATTTGTTAAAAATTTTTATTTTTGTTTTTGTTATTTGTTATTAATTTTTGATAATAAAAGAATAAATTTATATAATTATATTAATATAATTTATGAAGTTAACAGTTTTATATTCATTATTTTACTGAAACTTCTTAGTGTTGGTAAGTAACCTTAAGTATATCTATAATTTTAGCATACTTTGTAAACTTAAAGTTTATTTCATTTTGAAAGGTTTAGGTCATTTAATAAGAGGTAGAATAATTATGAAAGGCAAAATTAGTTTTGCTTGTTGTTAAAGATTATTAAACTTAAATAAAGATGGGAAGTTGAAACTATTTTAAAAAGTTTCAGATACCTAAAAATAAATAAATAAAATTTTTTTTTTTAAGATATTAATCATTTAATCTAAGGTTATCGTAGAAAATTGGTTCTTTACTAATAGTTTTTACCTTACTTTTTTCTTAAATTCTATTGGTTAAAAAGGAAAAAAATCATAACACATATGGGCCGATTTGGCTCACTTCGGTTATGTCACCTATAAAATGATCAACCGCCGATCATTTACTAATTTACTAAATATCACATTTATTTACATTATTTCTTTTTGAATAACTACGCGAAACTTCTAAAATGACACAGTGTAATTTTCCTTGCTTTTTATGTTCTAAAATTTTTAATACAAGGAAAAAATTGCAAAATCATGAACGAAATGTACATAAAAATAATAAACTTATTCCATACCGTCATATACTTCATCAACCTTCTAATGAAACAATGTCATTTTATCGAGACGCAATAATAATTCGTTTAAAAAATAGTCTTGGATTTAACAGACATTCAGTTGGAAAAAAACATATAACAATTGACGCATTTCCAGAGAATGTATTTGTGTCTTTATTTGAAAATGAAGATAATTTCAAATATATACCAATCCAGTGAAAATATCAATGTATTTTGAAAGGAACAGTAGGTGAGGAACAATTGAAGAAAATATTTAAATATGACCAAATAATATTTCGTGAAAATATTAATACTTCAACTCGAGGGTATATATTATTTGAGAATAATGATGGTCAATATAAAGCAATATTTAATTGGAAACAAAAAGAATTAAAAGAAAATACAAGAAATTTTTTGTCTGGAATTTTGACAATTAACTTTATTGCTGACTCTGGTGAATTCATAAATGAGTAAGATTTATGAAAATTCTGTGTTATTAAAAGATATTTTTGTGCTAACTTTATTTTATTAATTTTAGTCAAGAAAATTATGTAGTGCCACTTCAACCACTTCAACCGCCATCATCTAATGATGATCATATTTTACATATAATATATTCCAATCCACCTTATAACGCATCTAACAATAAACTTTCATCAAATAATAAATCAACAACCTTTACCAAACCACAATATAGATATATTTTACCACATTCCCTTTTATCAAATACAAATAATTCTTAACAATTTCAATGTAATAAAATTATTGTTTTTAGTAATCAAATTTATTATTATTAATAACTTAACCTCATACATCACTTTCGCATCAATTATTAATAAAAACGTAATGGATTTTTAATAATAATAAAATATAATTATTAATTAGCTTTCCTTATTATTGACATCAATGTTTCTAGCGATAATCTTTTTAGGAGTATTGTTAATTAGGTAAAATAATTGGCGATTTTCAAAAAACATTATATTGTATACTACTGATTTTCCATCAGTTCCCCACCCATAGTAGTACCTCCAAAAAATAAACAGACCTAGATTAAGAATATATATTAGTAATAAACATAAATTTTTTCAAATAAAAAAAATAATTATAATTTTTTAATACATGATTGTGATTTTTTTTTTCTATACTTGAAGTAGAAAAAGTTCGTAAAGAAAGGCCAATTTCTTTTAATTGACGCATAAATTGGGATACATGTTTTGCAAAAACATGCATATATGGAGTAACATCATCTTTTCGATATAAACCAGAAATTTGTGTACCACTATTCATGTGACCTTGAGTTGGACGATAAAACGTGCAGATCCAATTTTGAGTATCGATTTCAAATTGATCAATTTCTTGATCTGAAAGATATTCTTTGTGTAAAATTGTATATAATCGATAAAACTCTCGCCATAATTTTTCTATATCTTCTCCACGAATATCTGGAATAAATTGTGATACTGAAAACTCTTTTAACGTTTTTTTTTTATCTGGTCCCATTAGAGAAGTCCAATTCCAATTTTTTCCAGATTGAAAAAATTTAAAATGAACTTTAATATTTTTAAATGCTAATTCAACTGCTGGCTTAATTTGCTTTTGAAATTCCTTTTTTTTAATTAGATCAGCAAATAAGCACTCCATTAAGACATCTGAAATTCTTAAAAAAAGATGTAATTCATCTGGTATATAATTTTTCTGATTAATTGCAGGAAATAAAGGAGATTTCCTTTCACCTAAATATTAAGTGTAGTAAATTAAGTTTAAAGTATTGTAATTTAATTAATAAAAATAAATTAATATATCAAGTAAACTTACATCTTGTATTTTCTGTATTATTCCATATTTTATCCATATCCCATCGCAATGATGCTTCACAATTGCAATACAAACAAAAATACTTTGAGTTTTGCGCATTTGTACCCATAATTATGTACATAAATTTCCAATCTCCACAGAAAAAGAGCTCAACTGGCCAATTAACACCATCCTGATCGATAATTCCACTATTTTTCAAATCAAATAATTGATCTTGAAATAATTGGCCAACTTTTGCTAAATCTTTATAATTTTCATGACCAATATAAAGGCAAATACTGTAATTATATAAGAAACTAAATTAGTTAAAAAATTTATAGTAAAATCAATAGTAAGAATAGTTAAATTTTACCAATATTGATGATCAGGTTTTAAAACCTCTTTTTTTTCGTTTAATAAACAGAATGTGATCATTACATGATTCTGACGTCTTCCCACATTTCTGCCATCACCACCTATTTTGATATAAAGAGTATCTCCTGGAAATATTACAGGATTTTGTCCTGCTTTCCAAATGGGTATTAATATTTTAAGTATATCTAAAATAGAACGAAATGCACCATTTCCTATTTCATGATCATCTACTAAAATATCATTAACATTATTATTAATATTATTATCAATATTAGATTGATTATTAATTTCGTTATCTATATTAAAAATTCCTATATGAATTTGCATATTCATAAGTTCGTTCATTTCATTTCGACGATTAGCAACCAAATATTCACGAAAAAGAGTTGGAACAACTGCAGCTAAATTTCTATATCCATCACGACCTAAGACTGCTTCATCACAAACACGTACAATAGCATCAACTCTTGTTTGAATTGCAGAAGAATTATTTGGATTTTTGAATTTAATATAAGCCTGCTGGTCTTCTTTATAATCAAGTTCAATATAACATAAATGGACAATTGGTTCTCCAGATAAGTTTGTCAATTTATGTTTGATAATTAGTTCATCAATTGCTTTCTGCACATCTCTTCCGAAGCTATTTAGTCTTTTGTTTTGTTGTGATCGTGAAGAAATCTCTTCAAGTGGCCTTTTACGCCTATTATTGTCCTTTATTACAGGTTGTAAACCAATTTGTAAACGAAAATTATATAATGGTTCAATATCAAAATCAAATAAACGAGGACCAGAAAGTTTAGTTGATCGATTCTGATTGATTTTCTAATAAAATAATATAAAATTAATTTGTGTATAAAATAAAAATCATTATATTTCTTTTAATGTAAATATGAATTACATACCTGTAAAAACAAATTAGTAACTGCCGTAGAGGATTTTGTGCTACTAATATTCCAATCTACACGTCCTTCCTTCCAATTTATAGTATAGCATACTTTTGAATCTGTGATATATTTGGTTTCACACTTAAGACTCCATTCGAACAACTCTGTTTCAACAATGTAATCATTTGGTATCGGATATTGAAAAGTACTATTTTGGGATTTTCGAGTCAGTCTTGGTATGGAAGGATAATTCCCCACTGCAATAATATTGTAATATGAAATGTATAATCGACCATTTGATATATAACGTGCTTCAATTCTTGAATTATTTGGGTAGTCATGTATAAAAACGCGACTAGAAAAAGAGTCTAATAATTAAAAAAAAAAATTTTTAGTATTTTTATTTTTGCTAAAAAATATATACTAGAAAGCATATTACTTTCGTTTTCTGGTGCTATTTCTACCATTTTGTTTGTAATTTAAAACTAAACAGTTTCGATATTGAACATTTCTAAATATAATACTCACCAAGCCCAAACCCTTAAAACCAATTCCAAGACAATTCCCAACAGGTTTCGAAGTTGCAAAATCCAGTTTCGAAAGCATGCGTAGCTGGTGCGTAACCTTCAACAATTGGCTTAAATATGAAATCGGCATTAATGTCATTATGTATTATTCAAATTTGTCACAAATTTGATGTTTATTTTGATCTCATGTCGATCAAAAATTCATATTGTCATCAAAATTTATTTAGTGGTATGAGCCACAGGGCGGACATGCATTATATCACAATGTCGATCACTTGCCGATCATGATATAAGTGATATCACGTTAAATTTGAAGCTTTATTCCAAGCAATAAATGTTCTGACAATTTATGTTAAATTATTTTATTTAATAGTTTCATTTATCAATAAATTAATATAAAAGTATTGTGGCAAAATAAGGTGTGTTTCCAAAGTTAGATTTTACGTCAAATTTTCAATAATTAATATATATGCTATATATATGCCGATCATCTGCTAACGTGACTTTGAAGCTTTGGGCGAAGCCACAGATCTTTGGGCGAAACTTGAAACTTTTACAGTATATTATTTAGGTATTCAAGAATCAATGGTTAAAATAAACCTGGATAATTTTTGATAACCCAAAAGTTATCATTAAATAAATGTTTACAATTATTGTAAAATTAATATATGTCTGATATTTGACAAAATCTTTATGAATTATTTTAAGAACTAATTTATTAACAATAAATAAAATAAAGTAAATAAAATCGAAATTTTATACATTATTATGTAGAATTTGTGAAAAAACTAATTCAACGGTATTTTTTTATGTGATAATATTGGACAAGTGATCGGCAAAATGATCGGCAATATCGTGATAATATGGGGATGTCCGCCCTGTTGGTATGAGCCAAATCGGCCCATATGAATATAACATAACATTTCCTTTTATAGTAGGATCTGCAAAGAATTTTATATATGATTTTTACCTTAGACCTAGGGGTGACCTATCTTATAAGTAAGCAGAGTCTTCTTTTAACAGTTAATTAATTTGATCATTGTAACTATTATAATTAATTCCAACTACTATAATTAATTTTAACCATTATAATTAATTTCAACTATCATAATTAATTTCAATTATTGTAAATTTGTAATTAATTTTAACTATCATAATTAATTATGACTTTAGCATTTTCATTTTAGTTTTATATAATTATAGTCTTAATATATAAACAAAATCATTTGTAAAAAGTTGAGTAAACTAAAGGTTAGCTTTTAAAATAATCTTTTTTGTTTCTTTTGCATTAACTTTTATTTTTTCTTAATCTTTATTTATTTTTCTTTAAGTAGTATGCTTTTTTGAATAAATAAATAATAGTTTTTTCTTTAATTTTGTTCTTTTTTGTTTTACTTTTAGTTTTATTTTTTTCTACTTTTTTTTATATATTAAATTTTCTGTTTTATAGTTGATTAAAGGTAAATTTTCCTTTTTTTTTCTATTTTGTTTTTTATTCTTTGTTTTTAATTTTTGTTTTTTGTTTTTTTGTTTTTATATTTCATCTTTAACTTTTTTTGCTTATTTTGATCTCTAGTTTATGAAAGATACTTTTTTCTTTAGATTTTCAAGTTATAATTAAAGGTATTTTTTTTTTTCTTTTTTTTTGTTGTCATTTCTTATACAGTCAACTCCCTCTATAGTCACTCCCGTTATAGTCATATTCTACTATATAGTCACACCAGTTGAATGTTCAAAACACTTTATTATTAAAATCTATCCTATATAGTCACAATCTATCTATAGTCACTATCACACCTATCCTCAAAAATCTTATATTAAAAAGAACCATTTATAATCACAGTTATAT